TTCTTTCTTTTCCTTTACAGCAAGTACGCTCACATGAGTTAGCATGCATTCAAGTGAGTTTACTTAACTTTGAAGATGGAATAACTTTTAGATTTCTTTTTAWTCGTGATTTGATGTGCATAGATTTGCATTTAACTTAGGGACCGAAGCTACACGTAGTCAATTCGGTCGCTATCCGTTAGTCAGGCCTAACCCGTCTGCTGTTAGCACAAAGGCCAGTTCGTCTTGTGAAGCCTAGGTTCCTCGTAATATATATTAATAGGATCGCTTGTTTTTTTCTCGCGATTTGGTATGCATAAATATGCATTTAGCATAGAGGCCGAGGCGACATGTGGTCGACTCGGTCGCTATCGGTTAGTCAGGCCTCACACGCTTGCTGTTAGTATAAAGGCCGATAGTAGCGTGAAGCCTCGGTTTCTCGTAAAAAGAATTAGAGTCAGTGGATTAGTCYGATCGRKGGGAAACCACTTAAAACAAAAATCGTGAAAAGTTCCACCTTAAAAGGTCTACTTTTCCCATTCCTTTTAATATTTTCTTGGCACGATGAACTAGGATGCCAAACTCCGTCCAAGAGAAGGAGGAAACGAACCAAAAAGGGACTAAGTTATGGTAAACAGTAGTAGAATATCATTATTTTTATAAGTAAATGAACTTATTTAATCAGTTTATTGTTTCATAGAATCATTTCGTCCAAGAGGAAGGGGAAATAGATTAAAAGATGACCATAAGTGGACAGAGTTATGGTAAATGGTAGCAAAAAATAATTATTTCTATAAGTAAATGAATATTTTTAATCAGTTTATTGTTTCATATAACCATTCCGTCCAAGAGGAAGGGGAAATGAATTAAAAAATGACCATAAGTGGACAGTGTTATAATAAATTGTATTAGAAAATAATAATTTCTCATTGTAAATGAAATATTATATTTTAATTCGTGGCTTCTTGTTTTATTTTTAAGATTACGCCCAATAGTTGATTGGAAACTGATCAAAAGTTGGCCGAGTTATTGTTAACAGTCGTATAAAATAATTATTTTTACGAATAAATGAAATACTTTGATATCTCAACTAATATAATGCATAATCTTGTTTCATTTTTAGTTTCGTCTTCAGTTTCTTTCAAGTAAACGCTTTAATGGGTAGCGGGTGGATTTTTTCTTGGCAAAGGGCGCCATTTGCTAAGAAAAAATTTACTTCAGGTATGCGACCCTGCCCACGCGAGCCTTGATTCTATCTTACCCCCCAAAGATAGAACCATGTCCTTCCCTATATGAAGTATACTCATATGAATTAGCATGAATTCATGTGAGTACACTTTGYTTTTTAAAGTAAAMCCCTTTATACATTTTTTTTGTATTTTTTTAATTTTRCTTTTTTTTTAACTCGCGATTTTGCAAGCATAGCTATGCATGCACTTAGCATAGGAACTGAAACTGCATTGTATGGGATGTCTACCAACGTTTTTTGTCAGTCAAGCCCAAGGATTAAATTCCTCAAGCTTGCTATTAACACCGGTGTCGGACTGTACGTGCAGCGTAAGTTCCTCGTAATAATAATTATAGTCAGTAGATTAGTCCAACCGTTGGGAAAACACTTAAAAAAAAAATCGTAAAAAGTTTTACTTTAAAAGGCCCATTTTTCCTCTCCTTCCTTTTTCTTCCCTTTCCATTGTTTTTTGTTGTTGCAGGTTACATAGGAGGAAGACCACACGAGGACTTAGTTATAATAAAGTATAATGTAACGTAAAATTATTTGTATAATTAAATTTATAATTAAATGTATTATTTCAATCTGTTTATTGTTCTCCCCGTAGCATCGCACGCGTGTGATAATTATTCTTTATGTATTTTATTTGTTCATAGTTTCCATGGAACAACCCATAATTGCATATTTTTTGTATTATTTTATTTCTTTTTATGTAGATTGAAAATTATTATGTATAAACTATACATTAATKGTAATCTTCGTATGTGTAATTATTAAAATTATATTGAACTGTATTAGTTTTCACTAAAATCATGGGGGTTTCTTGTGTTTTATTCAGATGCATTTCTCATTTTCATTTCCTTATTCAGTATTCAAACTTTTCTCTTTATTCTCGATAATCATTGTAAGGTTTCTTAGATGTAATTCTTAGGGTGGGGCCTAAGAGAGTGGGGCTCTATAAAAAAACGTTCTCGAGGTGATCATTTTCTTCGGTTTCAATTTAATTCGGATGTGGACATTTTCAGGATGCACATCCCGGGTCTTCAGAAGCGGTTACCTCCTCGTGGTTAGACCTGGGCAATGGTTTCTTACTTTCAATATAATGTTTATCATATTTTATATGATATACATTCCATTGCAAGTAAAATCCAGCCAAAGACCGCTTACCATAAACATTGTAATTGTAATTAGTTTTCTTTTAAATCCCTAATTAATATCATATCTTTATTCCTTTCTCCTTGGTTTCTTTTATCCATTAAATATACAGAAACTAATTACTTTATAATGTTTTTTAATAACTTTTATATTTTTACAAGTATTATTGCAGGTATATTTATTTTTCATTTTACTTTTTTTCAGAATAAGATTAATTTTCTTTTAGACATTAAATTAAAATGATTTTCAGAGTTGACGCTTAGGATGAGGCTTAAGAGTGAGAACYTTTAGGTGAGTAAATTTAAAAAGATATGTTTTAATATTTCTTTTCTATCAATGTAGCTTTAATATAGAAGAAGAATATAGTTGAAACAGATCTTAATATCGTTAGCCTCAAGAAAATTAAATTTATATCTGTTGATCCTATACTATAATGAAGTCTTATTCTTTGATGTTTAATAGTCTTGGGTTGGAATTAAAAATGTATAATGTATATGTATGTATGTAATGGGCATAGTTGATACGCTATTGGTGCGCTATTGTTGGATTTCATACAATGTATTCTAATAGTCCGACAAAGTAAAGCAAATTAAAACGGAATACTGTAGGCGTAATTGCAGTGTCTTACTTATATTAATATATATTATATAAAGAAATATTATACGAAAAGAATACAGCAGCACTGAAATACTATACTTATAGGTTTTAAATTATTCCGCTGAAAAAATCGACAATCAAACTCAAGTGATTAGGAGATGGTCAGGTAGGCCACCCTCCGATTTTTTTTTAAATTTTGCACACTTGTAGTAATCCAAGAAAATATTTATTGTGCAAACAAACAATTGTTTTTCGATCATAATTAATGCATAAAATTAAAGCTTTTTAAAAAATTACATTAATTGGAATAATAGAAAATTGTTTATTGAGCATAAAGTTACATATTACAGATGTGGTAATAATAATAATATAATCATAATAATAATAATCATAATAAAATAATATTCATAATAATAATGATAATAAAATTAATAATAATGGTAATAATATTGACGAAGAAAATGATAATCAATGAATACTTTTCAATAGCTCAATCTATCTGAAAAATTACATTTAAAGATCCTTTTACAAACTTCAGATTTTTATTGGCTTGACTAGCATAATTAGAAGCAATGACATTATAGTTAATCATATTAAGAAAACGAACGAAGTACATCTATGTAACGAATATTTATCATACATGTTTTAAATATACATTAATATACACGTATAACGTGTATAAACGAATGTATATGTATATATATGTGTGTGTATTAAAAATGCTTTTAATAAATTAGATGAGAAAAAATGTACATATAATTACTAATGTTATATATATGTCTATCAAGTACTATCCCACACAGGATAATAAAATGCTCCACTGATTCGTACAAGATTCGTTATTAAGTAATTGCTTGGAAATTTGAAATAATATATCGGTGATTTCGATACACATTCTTACAATTTTATTATTTAATTAAATAGTGATTATATTATATCTGAGATAGACATCGTTTTTTGTTCTGTCAATGTTGTTTGCACATAAAATCTTAATAAAATCGCACAGCCTATAATCGATGCTCAAATCAGTTGAGCAAATTCTAAAAAAGAAAAAAAAAACAGAAAATAAAGAAAAGGAATTTAAAAAACCAATGCATGCTGAATGATTTAAGAAACTTTAAAAAATATGAATACAACTTCGAATAAATATACTAACATTGCCTAAAATACAAATTGCTTATCTAGTAATTCACCATGTGTCATAAAAAGTACTTAAAATAGATTCTAAACTAGTCTTTTGCATTCTATTCCTAAAATTTGTATCAAGAACCTATGACTAAATCAATTATAGAAAATGTATAGTACTTCCTTCGCAAAGTTGGTTTCGACCGCAGAGACCATAGATCTATCGTTGTATTTTTTTTTATTTCTTTTTGTTGTTAATTTCATTTTATTGCAACCATGTCATGTCCTTAATTAATAAATACGCACATACAGTAACGTATATAATAATACTTCCTATATTTTAGGGTAAAGGGAATTAAATATATTTGATTCTAATTCTATCTTATTTTTTTCTTTTTAATATATACCTCGAAATAAATATTTATTTAGAAAAACTAAGTATTTTTTTCGTTCTTTTTTCGCTCCTTCTTCTTCTATCTCTTTTATATTCTTCACAATTTTATTACGAATAACATGGCTCTCTTAATTCGAACCCCACTCTGCTAATATAGATTGATTATAATCGTATTAGTAATATCATTAATGTAGACGTTTACGAAGTATTAAATACTGAATAATATGTTTTTTTTTGTTTCACTGATACATCATTGTATATACGAATGGAAAAGTAAAACGTACGCACTATTCATTTTCTTTGTTTTTTTTTGACGTCGATTCGTGAATGATTTTTATCATTTTTTCGTGTAATAGATTTAGATTTACTTAGCGCAGTAAGTTGGAAAGAGCAAACTTCTTTAAAAAGTAGCACCTGCATGAAATATGTTTAAACGCAACCATCCGGCTGTGAATTTTACATACGTGTTTTAACAAGAAAAAGTATCTTTCAGTAAAAAAATTCTTACAATTAAAAAGAAAAATGTCCATACCGTCAAATGCTATATCTTTATAAGTTTATAGGATATACCATTACTTTAAAATTCTTATGATTAAGAAGTACTACGAATACTAAAGTGGCAAGTATTTGTTTAGGATAAGATATAGATCTTTATAAAGCTTTTTGTTATTTACGAAAGATTCAATGCGTGTTTTAGAAGGTAACTAGAGGTGAAATACTTGCTTCGAATAAAATGTAATTTAAAAAATGTCTAAAAGTTCTGAATTAGAGAGAAAGAGAGAGAAAGAGAGAGAGAGAGAGAGAGAGAGAGAGAGAGAGAGAGAGAGAACAGAAAAAAAGAAATGTACAGATCTAGCAGAACAATAGTACTATTCGCAATAACACGGAACGTATATAAGATACAATCAATTACATGGATTGACACACTGGTTTCATAAACGTCTCTTATTAGATAGTTCAGTCAGAGTAGGATAATTATAGAATGACAATGTGCCACAAACTTACGAACAACACGAGAATGATACAAATTCTAATTTAATTTAGTACAAAATACGCCGCTTTGTGACGTTCAAGAACTAGTTTTCGGCCAGGCTATCTTCGCGTCGATTCGTTTATAGGCAAAAAGGCAGTGAGAGAGCTCTTGCGGACATTCCTGATCGCCTAACAATGTTTCTAAAAAATTAGATATATTATATAACAGATATCAATACCTGTAATTATTAATGAAACTCTTCTTTTGATAAAGTAAGAATAATTGAACTTTTTGCAGCATGATAGAATTTGAAATATTTTAATTTTTTAATACTTAAATATGCATAATAGAATATTTTTTAGTCTATTTCGAAAAATGAAAATAATTTGAAGAAACATTTATATTTTTTAAAATTCCATGCTTCAGAAAGATAATAAATAATAAATCAGTATAATACCTTCTCCTTGCACCAATTTGAAAAGACCATAATCCTGAGGGTTGGTGCATCTTATTTTGTGTGCAAGAATGCGACAAATATCTCTGGTATTCATATTCGGCCGCACTGGTAAAGTTCTAGTATTCAAAGAACCATGCAATTCGTCCGGTACAAGAATACGTAAAACGGAAGAGCAGTCTGGTGTTCCAGAGCCCTAAAAAATAAAAAAATTTTCAATAGAATTTTAGGATGAAATAAATTTATATTCTTAATTCATTGTTTTCTTGAAAATAAAAGTTTTATAAAATTCGTAGTTCCTTACGTTTAACGTGGACATTGTTCCATGGCTAGATTTGAAAGTCTTCAAAACGTGCACTGCACTAGAGAGCGTTGTCAGATAATAACCACCTTCTCCGGTAAGAAGAGAAGGATGAAGGAGGCCCCACATATATTCAGCTTCAACCTCAGCATCAACAACCTTACCACGAACTAATACCCACACAAGGAGAGGTAAAAGGTCGTCTGCACCCAGGGTCACATGCCTTATAGAATTAGAATGTTTTACCTGTGTAAGAAAAATGATAAAATTGAATATTAAGGAGAATTACCATATTCCATCAAAATACCAACTATTTTTCTTATACTTACAGAATTAAAAATTGCGGATATTGCAGCTAATAAATTCTCCAGCTTATCCAATGGTGAATCTGCTTTCTGTAATCGTTCTAGATATTTCAGTATACGTTCCAGGCTCGATTCCGACGGTGGTATAATTTTTGCCTGTTGAATAATATATAAGGATAAAGAATTGTTATTGTTATGTTCGATTATTATTTTATAAATTTATATATCCTGTATTATATATAATATTTAATTTAAATATGTAAAAGAGTATATAAAAAAAAATAATTTTTAATTATGTGTTATAATATATTATTCTATTAAAAACTTTGATGTCTTTGATTGATAGTTAATAATTGAAAAGTATACTAACTCGGACACCAAGATCTTGAACATGTTTACCCTGGGCATGTTGAATACTTTCAGAAAGTGTTTGAAGAGAACCCGTGCTAACATAATGATCCACAAAAAGCCTATAAACATGTTCTCTGAGTGGTCGTACAACGAGTCCCATCATCACACCTTCCAGAATAGCATCGAGATTCAAAAATTCGTTTGGTTTTAATTTTAGTCTTTCCTTCTCAACTTCTTTCTCAAACTCTCGTTCACCATGTTTTACCAAATAATTCTTCATTCCCGACATAAATTGTCGCATGTTTCTCATAACTACATGAGGACTTGCTTCTTTTCCTTCCTTCGTACATTGAATGAAATTGTCAATGTTTTGAGAGAACGTTGTTGTTTTATCGGCTGCTAATTGGAGAGCGTAGGATCTTATCGTTGAACCAGTACCACTCATGTCGCGATTCCTCAAAGCCTGTAATCGTGGTGGTGCTAAAAATTGAAAAAATACATACAATGAAAACTATCTATTTAATTATATAGATGTCGAAAATAATCAATAACCATTTATACAAGATAATCGTAATTATTATCTAGTTAAATAAATGTATATCGCTTAAATAGATACTGACAATACAACGAATATTCGAATTTATTTTGAGTGAGAAAAACTAACTGTACGAATAGAGACAAGGTTCATGCTTTAAAATGAGATGTTGCTTACTGTAAAATTGCTTGGAAAGATTATGACATTAAGTTGATCGTATAATAGTCTATTTATTTTAACGATAACAAAAAATCTAGGCCACAGTAGGTCAATGATTTTTATATTATACATAAATATATTTTATTTGTATATTTTATACAAATTTGTATTCAGTATAAGCTGCTTAGGAGGTTAACTTCTTGAACAATACACATTCGCTTATGATTATTGGCTATATTTCGAAGTCCGATTGCAAAAAGTTAATGTTATGCAAATAAGAAATATTAAACTCACACAAAAGAGGATCCAGTCTTTCCTTGAAGCTCTTGTTTCTTTTAATTCTTTCAATATCGCTCTCGTCCGTATCTAGCATAGTTTCCCACTCAGAAGGATCATATGTTGGATCCTTTCTCGATTCCGGAGTGTCTTCTCTTTCATTCCTCTTTTCAACATTATCGTACGAGGAGTTTCTGTCGCTGTACAGCGACTCCGACATATCAGGCGGTTTTAGCAATTCTGGGTACCTAAAAAAAAAGCGTTTTCAAACGATCTTACAGTTTATCATTTAAACTTTTTGCAATATTGTTCTTTTTCAAAAATAGTTTCTTACCGTTGTAGAATGATACTCTGAACAGTCAAAGTATTTCTTACAATATCTCTATCGCACTCCTCGTCCGGAAATTTTCTTGCGACGTTCTCTCCGTCGTAATCCCCATCACAGTCGTAATCTGGCTCACAATCATCTCCTTCGTTTCCTAGATTTAATAATAATTTTATAATCATTTATTTAAACGACCTTTTCCTTTATTTTTTTTCATTTCTTTACACATAGGCTAACATTAGATTAAATTTACCGATAAACTCCCAACTAGAATCGACGGCCCAGGATGTGTCGTTGAATACCTTGACTCTGATCTTTGGTGGTTGCACTGGCTTTGCCCGGGGAATTTTTTTCACTTCCCTCGTGCCAAGACGTTTAGCTAAATTGTCGACGGAAGATGATATCAATGGCGTTTTATCCTCCGTTTCTTCCGTTTCCTCCCAGTCGATAGGATGCAATTGATTCGAATTATTGCCAACCGGTGTTTGTAACCAGCCTGGTTCGCTATGACGATATTTATTTGTGGCCGGATTGTTCTTTGATCGTCTTCTTGGTACTATCGCGGCACTTTGAGCAATCGCATCAGCTGGTTCTGCATAAAATGGACTACCCTGTTTCGATTCAGGTGTCAGTGGGCTGTTACTTTCTGATTTAGCAAGTATCAATCCTAGTTTATTTCTTGGTGGTGTCACTGCACTAGGACTGTTCAAAGAATTAGCACTACCTGTTAAAAATGGATAGAATTATCGTTAAAAATAATTGCTAATAAAAATAATACTGTGAATATTAACGTTGAATAGACTTACAAACTCTAGAGAGTAGATCGGGCCTTCTTCCCATTCCCGTTTCTTCAGGTGATACTTGTTCAATACTTTTCATTTCGGGTACAGGTTTGAAACTACTAAATTCTGGACTAGCGACCTCTTTATAACAAAGTTTTTCATTTATAACCGACTTGTCGTTTCTCAAAATGAACCTTTCATTTCTTACAATTAGCTGCTTGTTCCCTGTCAATCTGTCATCTCTTTGATTGGTACATCTTTCAATCGGACTGAGTAATCTATCTTGGCCGATTAGTCGATCGTTGGAATTTCTTAAACGATCTTGAGCATTATTACAACCACTTGGTGGGTCGTTTCGTGTGAGTCTATCATTCGGTGACCAAGTCGATTGATTTGATTGATCAGTTGTGTTCCAGATATCCTCGTAGTCTGAGATCTTATCACCTGGCGAGCTACGATAATAAGAATCAAGGATGTCAGATTCTTGATAATGTTGGGAATTCTTTCTAGCTTCACGATCGCGTCGTCGTTTCGATTTGCTCGTGCTCGATGGTGTCGTGGGCGAGAGAACGTTAGGTGTTTTACTGCCAACGTTAGAAACTAGTTTCGACGTAGGTGATAGTACTGGCATCGTTGGCGAAAGAGGAGATTTAATGGAGAAATTTGACGTTAGAGATTTGTTAGAGGTTGCACTTTGCGGACTCAACAATGACGTATTCGGTTCCGTTGGTGTATTTTGCTATCAAAATTACAAACGAATAAATAACTCAAATTAAGATATTATCAATATCTCAAATATTGATAATATAATATCTCAATATAAGATTTAACGAGCACTTACTTGCGACGCGATTATGTCATTAGTTTGATTGACATTAAATGTAACCGTTGTGGTAACCGTGAAATTACTTTGACTCTGATTCTGACTTAATCCAGGTTTAGCCCATCTCGGTGGTGGTGGTGGTGGAGTTTTAACATTCTGACCAACAATTTGAGTATCAGAAACAATAGGCGAATTTGTGCACGAGGGATTATTGAAGTTGGAAATATTTTGGTGGAAATTAGACGTAGATGTGCCGATCGAAGTAAACTTGCTACTTCTTGAAAACTCGACGATCGTTGTCTTGGGTGTTTCAAGGATATTTCTCGTATTCTCGAAGTTTCCTTTAGTATCCTGAATGGGACTAAGAACGTTACTCTCGACATTGTGTACGATGGGGGATGGACAACGTACGCTTTGCACCAAGTTTGGGGAGATCAATTTTTGTGAGAGCTTTTCGCATGGAGACATTACTTCTTGTTGATCTTTCTTCATGTCCAGTGGTTCATTAAAGGTCGTTAGATTAAGCGTATTGGGTGGTGTTGGTCTTGGCTGGCGTGGTAAGGATGATGCAAACGTTGATGTTGTTCCTGTATTTGTTGGTGAAGAATTTTCTATAAAATACGAACGACTTCTATTAGTTATAATATAATTTTCTAATAGATTTTGTTCAAATTAAAATGAATCAAATTTATCTGTTAAATTTATCTGTAAATTTATATCTTACGTGTATCATGAGATGAAATAGGTGCGAGGTTAAGAACAATGCTTTCCGTTGTTGGAGTACCAGCGTTGTTGTTATTATTATTATTATTATTATTATTATTATTATTGTTATTATTATTATTATTATTATTATTATTATTATTATTATTATTAAGATTGTTGTTACCTGTAAAAATTGAAATAATAAAAAGAGTGAATCATTATACGTATGTATAATGCAATGAGTAAAATTATTTATTAAAAGAACTTACAACCATGGAAACTACTTAAACTCGAGGTATTACTACTACTGCTTTCTGGTGGTTTTGGATTCGCCATTGGATATCTCCAAAATTCTTGACCCAAAAGTGCCAGGGATGAAAGTTGCTGCCTATTTTTAGCCTCTCGCATTGCTCTCGGTAGTGTCAATTGCACTGGTAATTCATCACTACTTAGCAAATAAGAAAAAATTGAGAACTAATTAATCATCTCAGGAGAAAGGCAACGTATTTGATTTCTCAAGATTAATTAAAACAAGAGATACACACACACAGACACACACACACACACACACAAAAGTTCTTATTTTTTACACGTTGCCTGTTTACGATAACGATCAACTCAATATAGATAGAAGGATACTTAAATAGAAGTAAATAAACTTGATAAACGACTACTCACCAGCACTGGGAATAATGAGCTATCAATGAGGGGATGTTGTCGAACCTGTTCTCGCTTGTTTCCAAGCTCAGCTTCCCCTTGTTTGCTTGGATCAGGTAATGCTCGATGTAAGGTCCCTTCCCGGCAGGTAATCTCACCGAAAGGGCCATCGTATCGCTTTGACTTGACTGTCGGACTACGAAGTTCTGTAAACAAAAATGGAAATAAAAAAATATCATATTGTAATAAGAAATAAGAGATAATATTATGTAAAAAATAAGAAAACAAGAGAGTATGAAAAAGAAAAGTAGGATACATTTTATCGTTTAAATATGTTGAAATACATTTATCGAACAAATAAATCAAATAAAAGAAGAAAAAATAAGCATATACAGTTAAGCTACTAGCGAAGTTATAGATGCATAAGCGCGAGAATATCTCGTCAGTATCGAAGATGAAAAGAAATGAAGACGAACGAGGAGAAAAGTAAAGACAATGCACCACCGCGAATGAGTTTTTCCCGTCAGAAAAAATGGCTGTCGGATGAACGAAAGCACAAAAGCGATGATGCTCCCGATGCTCAGAGGGAGCGGGACATAGGGGGTGAGAAAGAAACAGAGATCAAGTTACTCGTGGAAAAGAGAGAGTAACTCTCTCTTACTCGGTTCTGTTTGGTCGGTGATGCATCGATATATAGTACTGTGCATCTACTACGAAAATATTATGCCAGTTCTTTTTCCATTTTTCACTTGGAGAGCAATTTCAAGCAAAACTTGGATACCCCATCCTTTGCTTTTACGTCCGATGTATTTGCATACATAGATAGATATATATCACCGATGAATATCTTGACTGTCTTTCATTTTCTACCGATTACTTACTCGCTTCGTGAATTTTGACTTTCCTATTTCTTGTAACATGACTCTTTGTACTCGTTCTCTCTCTTTTAATTTTTTCTTTTGTTTGATTTTTTATCATTCTCTATTATTCTTTCATCTTCTTCGGAAACGAGGGATGCTCATCGTTCTATAGAGAGTAATTGCAAGAAGCATTGTTTTTCGAGCTAGCTGCTGCTCGTTCCTGCCCACTCATTGAAATAGCGGTAAAGAGAGATAGAAAATAAGGTGGTTGAGGACTGATTGTAGGGTGAGGTGGGATGGAATGGAATGGGGAGACCTCCAAGCAGAGAAATGCAAGAGAACGAGCATAACAATTAACAGAGCTGGAAAACAATGAAAGGGACGGCTGGAAACAATGACAGCACAATGCCTCGTCTTGTTCGCAGTCGTTTTTAACGTTGATTACAGCGCAAGGTCTCTTCTCGTCTCGTTTCGTCTTGTCTACCTACAAGTACCATGATCACCACAGACATCACCATCACCATCCACTAAACTACCGTCAACGTTTTAGAAACCTTGTCACTGTTCGCTAAAATCAAATAATTCTTCAAGTTTCGTCTAGGATTTTTCGTGATTTTTATGCTTCTAATAAATTGCAATGTCTTTTTTTGATATATGTGATATCGATGTCAAAAAACCGAATGAAGTAAATCGAATAACAAAAGAAAGGAAAAAATTCTGGAAAAATTCATATTTTTAACCTATTTGCATATGTAAGCGTAATAATTCGCACGTGTTTTATGATCAGTATGCAAAAACATAAAATTGTTATTAGTGTATTATCAGAAAATTTGATCTCTTTAATTGAAGTTCAGACGTTTCTTCTAACAGGTGATAACTTTCGATTGGTATTTCTAATTAAGATTAAAATTAAAAAATTATATATATATATAATTAATTTTATAACTTAAGGAATATAAAATGCACAATAACATGGGCAAATTATATAAAATTGAAATTAATCATATATTTAAAAATACGATGCAAATGGGTTAAATGTTAAAAATATGTTAGGTAAACAATAGTACACACATTTCTATTAAAATTCGTTTTCGATAAGTTTTCTCATTGACTTTCGATTATTATTAGGACGTGACCGTAGTTAATAAGATTTTACGTAAGAATACAACTCGTACATGAAAAGATTTTCCATCAAGAATTCGTACGCTTTGGCACGAGACGCTTTCACAATGATTGCGAGGGGCTCTCTCAAGGCATTGACACGATTTGCCATCTGGGACCACTTGGCTTTGTTCCTATTCTTCCTCTTCTTCTTCGTTTTCTTCCTCTCACTTTTCCTCACGTTCGAGTATTAGATAAGATTTAACGCTCGCACGGATGCACTCATTGTTCTACCTCCCTCCTCTTTTTCCACTCAACTTCCCCTTTCCCGTGCTCGATACGCGAACGGAAATAAAGAGAAATATCGAGTCTGATACGACGGATGGAATGATGACGGATGGAATGATGACGGATAATCGCACGCGTCAAAACTATAGCGTTTATCCAGATGTGAAATTTATCAGACGATACAAATTTTTATCAATGTCGGATAAAGTTGTTTAAATATGTAATAATAAAAGATAATAATTATCTTTTTAATTTATTCAACATTAATTGTTCTAATATTGGAATAAAAAGAATAAAAGGGAGTAAAAAAAAAAAAAGAAGAATAATATAATTTATCTTCTAATAATGAAATACACGTGTGTGTGTGCACTCTTTGAAGAATAATACTCTCAATGGTGCACGTACATAAAACTTGGAGATGTTCACTTGAAGAAAAGCCAAATTAGAGAGAGAGAGAGAGAGATGGTCAGATATTTCGATGCTACTGCATCTGCCATTTACGTTTATTACATATTAAAATAGTACACGGTGGGTTTGCCAAATAGCCACAAACAGTTTAATGTATCGTTCTACCTTTGTTTGAGCAAGCAACAACAGAGAATTACGATTTCCAGATACCGTAATCCAATGTGTTTCTCTGATAATCGTCGGATAATTTTCCTCGTTTAAATATCTTCCGGCAGATACCAGCTTCTTTGGTATAAAGTTTTCGTGAAACGAGTTTTAGAGGAGCTACCAACTATTCTATGGTATGCTGTAGCAGTGTACAGTACAACCTATTCTCCTAGTCCACTCTCTTTCTCTCCCTCTCTCTTTTGCGAATCCATAAATTTGCGGTGAAAGATTTATACAAATGCGTACGCGCTATTCTATCTCCCGAAATTGCTGTCTCCGTGTAATCCTCGTCTCTTCTTTTTATTTTCTACAATTCAAAATGCACAATCGTGCTTTGATTATCAAAGTGACTCTAGGGGAAATAAATTTGGTTACATGAGAAGAAGAAATAATATCTATGGAAAACTATGGTGCTAGAACTATTACTATTGTTGTTCGAAAACAATTTTTGTCAAAGTAGTTTTCATTTCTATTATTAACAATCAGATTTGAAAATAATAAAATCGTGTAAATGATATTCGCACTCACGCGAGTTCCCTCTTTTGTGGGATAAAAATCAACGGCAAGGAAAGTGAAGAAGAAAAAAAAAGGAAAGAAGAGTTATAAAATCAAAACGCAACGGCAAGTTTTCGCACGCTCCATAGAAACTGCGAGATTCATTGGGGATGTTTCAAAGGTCCCCTCCGTATTCCAAGTCTTCCGGACACGTGTTGAACGTAATAAATATTATCGGTTAATTGTCCGTAACTTAAGTACGGGCCGTGAAAAATGTGTAGGAGGGAGAGTTGAAAAGATTTTTTTGACGATTTATTCTTCAGGACCAAAAGTTGAGATGAAAGAAACGAATTAGAAACAGTGTACCGTAGAAAATTGTTCCAACATGTTGGAATTTCTCGAGACAGTAAATAAAATACTATCGAGGAGTAATCAGGAGTCTTTATTTCGTGTTTTTATTAACAACAGTTAATGGTCAAATGAAAATGACAAATAATACATTTTATAATCGAAAGAATTATCTTTTTCGAAATTTATGCTTCATCGTTAATACTCTTTTGAGATTCCTATCAAGCGAACCTGCAAGTATCTTACGGCTAATCAATTCTCTTAAGCAAGAATACACTCACCCCTTCCTCCTTTCCTTGCAACAAGTGGAAAGCTCCAGCCCTTTGAATACCCGGGAGGAACCAAATCGGATGAGATCGTATGAGCCTTTCGATCAGCGTTATGTCACATGCCACCTCGCTGCCAGAATCTTCTGTAGTTGCCGAAGATCCTCCCGAGGTGGCCGAGCCTTCCGAAGAAAGCGACTCTTCGCTCTGAAAATTAAGAGAAAAATAATATTTATAATCATCTTCATATCTTTCAAATGAATTGCTTAACAATTCAAACTTATTATTTCAAACTTATCGTTTTAATGATATGTCAGTTCTAAATAAAATAAGAAAGAAGTACACTGTATTCTATTTATGAAAATTACCGGAATAGAAAAATATTATATCAAAGATATTTTTTAATAAATTGATTAATAATCCAAATTTAGAGAAATGATCGCACGGTAATCGAAACGAATATGGAAATCTTTGTCGTAGTTGTCGTCAGTGTTTTGGTGAAACGATTTTAGGAGGGTGCCCGTTGCAAATCCTCCCTGGCTCGTCATAAAGCGGCTGGATTTAATGCGGCGTTATGTCGTTGGGAGAAAGAGAAAAGGGGTTATCTTAATTTGCAGTCAATGTCGTTTTACGATTTACTTGGTTATCCTAAAATGAGAAAGAGAAAGAGAAAAGAACAAAAAGAAAAAAAAAAGTATCGAACCTTTCTCTCATTTCAAAAAATATATTTACCATTGAAAAGGTCGGCTGACATTCAATTCTTTCCCTTTTCGTAAAACAGATTATTTCTTCCACTACTCGACTTTAATTATCCTCGATTCGAACGTATACGTAACGATAATCGATCGATTATCGTACCCGTTAGGGATACAATTTTTCTTTTTTTTATTTTTCCCTCACCTCAGTAATAAGTTAAAATTGACATTGCATTGACATAATCGTAAAATGAGTTTCACGAAATCGAGCACCTGTCGTTGACTTGCCCCCTTATACTTTTTTATTCCTCACGTTTGAATGGATTTGTTTTTCCTTACTGCGTTATTTTAGAAAAGGAAAGGGAAAATAAATCAGTACTGAGCGTGGCTAAATTTTTCACTCGATTCGTATCGAATTACAAATTTATTTGTATGATCATTTTCTACAAATTTTTTTTATCGATTAACATAAATTTCACGTTTAATACTACAATAACGGTTAATTTATTGGAATAAACAATTTATTAAAGATTTTTATAATAATAAAAAATCGCATTGTTTGAATATCATGCGGAATGTTAAAGACGTTAATTTTTCGTTTTATTCTCCTTCCGAAAGTATTATAAGATTGGAATAAATGTCAACGGGTCAGCCATGTTGGACTATTAGTTTTCCGGAAATCACTAAAGTCAAGCAACGTGGGCATAGTTAGCGGGGTTAATGGGATGAGTGATCCGTTCGGTAAAACAAAAAGTGTGTGCTGTTGATTTCAGAGAGGCGGTAAATAGATGCAACTTCTTTGATAGTATTGAAGTGCCTGAGAAAGTGTTAGTAGAGCAGTGACTCGAGCTTAATTAAATAAAACGGAGAGAAAAAGAAAAGATATAAGATCGAAATATGAGAGGATACGGTAAAATGATTTAAACGTCGACATCTGTGAAAAGTATCAATCTTTTCAAAAGGATCATAAGTACTTTGATGACGCGACGACTATAAGATATGCTCGCGATGAGACAAGAGTCACGCGCGTATACATTTTTTCGACGAGTAATTAAGGGATTTGCAATTAGCTTCGGGGCCTCTCAGCACGTGCCTCACGTCCACGTTTAATCCCTTTAGCCTGAAATGCCGTTGTGTGTCAGTCTGCATTTCAAATTAAATTACACTCGAAACGGCCGCCCGCCCGCACGCACTGAATCCAACCCCTACGACGATGACGACGACGACGACGACGACGACGACTGTTCCTCGTCTATCGTTCTACCCTCTTTTCCCTCGTCTCTCTTTATCCTCTACCCCCTCCTCTTCTTCTTCTATTCACTCCTTCGTTTTCCTAAGTATCCTATCTTTTCTTCCAACTCGTTTGAATAAAATAGAACCCGCTTATTCCGTTCGATCGAATAAAATATCTATTCAAACTGATTTTTTTTATTTATTTTCCTACTAAACCTAAAGATAGTTCATTCTCACGTAATTTGTATTCCTTGTTTTATTTTTACTTTCCTGTTTCTTTCTTTTACCTGATAAGATGCTTCGTTTACTTCCGTGCACTCTCAATTTGATTCGTTTATGGTCAAGTTACAGGCTCAATTTATGCTAACGTGGAAGTTCGAGAAACGATATATCTAGTGGAGTTGTTTTTTAAGAGGGATTATTAAAAGGATTACAAAATTAATCGTGATACAGAAAGGGGATTCTGTCACCTGGCCATGATGTAGCTGCGCAAGTTGATGATGTTGAAGCGGATTCGGTGGTGGAGTGCTCGGCGAGCTGACAACTTGAACGGTCCCGTGCTGCTGCAGATACGGTTCCAAAAAGACATCGCTTCTGTAAAAAGAAATGCGAGAGACACTTTGATTTAGAGATCGATTGAAAAATCTCTTTTCTTTTATTTTTCTTTCCTTTCTTCATTAACAAAATCGTGGACACGTGTAAAACGCAACGCTAATACGGTATATCAAAACGTAATAACAGAGATATTTTAACATATCATCATTAAAGTAAAGTAATCCAGTTTATATAGAATACATTTTTTTATTTCAAAATAATTACAAAGCGTATAGATTTTTTCAAGAATCTTAATTATAAGTAAATCAATTATTCTCATCCTTTATTTATAATTACGGTTCACACCAATGCATAATGTATTGATATAATACTCTTCCATTATTACGAAATGCATAAAATTGTTAATATAAATTAAATTTAACATATACCGAGAGCAATGAAATTGAATGACGTAAATTAATAAAATTTCCTTGAAGTATCATTTAACGAGCATCGAAAGATCGAAACGAAAAGCAGAGAGCTAGCAATAATTGGATAATTATATATAATTCGGACTTGATTAATTATTTTTATTACTAGTCGTCATTGATAGTTTGTATTTGTATATGATATAAATGACACAAGCGCGCGCGCGCACACACACATATATATACCCACATTTATATATATATGTGTGTATGGAAAAGTAAGGATGCAGGTGACGCGTCGTGTCTCGTTCATCTTTTGGTGGTTTGACAGATAAATTGTATTTTCGAGCAAATCGAACTTCTCAAGCGCCGCTGTATCCGTTGTTATTTCCAACAAACTTTGACCGCCCATTGGATGAATATCAGCTAAAAAAAGAGAGAGAGGGGGGACTTGGGTGGAGGGTATGCGCGAGTTGACGTATGTAAAGGCTGAAAACGACGGCCGTCATGTACGCATACGTGCACAACGCGACGACGTATTGTCCATTCTGCATTTGACATCTGGACATTTTATCAAGAACCAACTACCGTGCTGCCTCGTCAACGTGCGTTACGGTATTGTTGTGACGGATCACATAACTCGAGACTTGATCGATTTTTTGAATGTTTATTCGATGGAACTTATCACGATAAAGAATATCGCGTAGAATTGAAGAATATTTAAATAATCGTATTTTTATTCTTGTCACGGTGTAATTATTATGTTCAGTCTATTTCATAATTGATTCTCGGTAAGAATATTTTTAACAGATTCGAGAGACCGACAACTTAATCCTACGTAATTTCAAAATCAGTAGCCTAAACGTTAAGTTCTATATCATTCAATATTTTTAATCGTTTATTTGTCTGTTCTTTTTCGTTTGATTGTTAAATGTTTATCTTTATTAGATTTTCTTCTTAAACTTGTGGATTTTGAATATTATTTTTTCATATAGTAATATGCTTTATATATCAGTTATTTTATGTGGTATATCCAGTTAAAATGTCTAACCTATAAGCAATAGCGGTCTCGCGCGAATGAGTTATTATTTGATAATATTTATAATTTCGAAAAGAGTATTGCATTTAATATTATAGTTGAACTCAAAGTTTAGTATTCTCGCAATCAGTAGAACTAAATATTATAATCATAATGTGTTGATTAATACATTAATAATTAACATGATGATTTTAAGAATGAAGATTTTATTTTATCACGTGGAAGTTTATATTTTCCTGAACGTTTAACTCGATCAGCTATGTACTCTTCCATTGTAGATACATATTTTCTATATATGTATAATACATATATGCGTCGTGGTTATTATCGGATCGATCGGAATTGAATTCGATGACATTTTTCGAATCGATCGGTAGCAGCACGGTCCACGAGAGGGTGGTTACGATCCTGGAACATGATCGTAGTGTTCGTCGTCTGCGGACGAGATCAGATGGGGGTTGCCATGGTAACTGAAGGTTCTCAACACGTGGTCCTCCTCCGGTCACCCTTTCTCTCTCTCTCTCTCTCTCTCCCTCTCCCTCTCTCTCTCTCTCTCTCTCTTTTTTCCTTTCTTCTCTTTTTTACCTTGCTCTTTCTCTTACACGAAGGTATTTTTCTGTATTAACGAGCCACTATGCATCGACTCGCACATGTCTCAAAGAAAATAAGGGATCTAGAGAAACATACACTCGTCCTTTCTGTGCACACATATTCGCCACTGAAGGGATCGACCCTTTTTCTCGAAGGAAAGAAGGGCCTCCTCCTGAAAGACTCACCTTTCTTCCTTTCTTTCTTTCTTTCCTTTTTTATTTTTATTTTGATTTTTCTTTTCCTCTTCTTTCTTCCTTTTCTTTTCCTTTCGAGAAAGAGGATTTTCAAAAAAGGCTTTGCAAAGAAAGAAATTCAATTCGAAAAAAATAATTGACACCATATTACGTGTTATTTATATTTATATTAAAAAAGAATTATAAGTAATGTTTTAATCGTTCAAATCAATCAATTTAAAAAGTTCGTCGTGTTTTCGTCGCTTAAAAGATAGCTCGTTAGAAAGACCCGGACATTCCTCGTGAACTTTATATCCAAGTAAAATACTAGTAATTGTATTAGTATTTGCTCTCTACACGCTCTACTCATCTTCAAACTCTGTCTGATTTTTAAATTACCCCTCTTCACGAGCGTTTCCATGTTTCCCCAACGATATTAATTAACGTATTCATATTTTTATTTCTCGTATTTCCAGCACATATTTCATGTCAGATAGAAATTCAAGATAGTAGTATCGTAGATAGGAATAATATTTTTTTTGATTTGAATTTACAGGCGGTATCGTAGGCGGTATCGTAGGCGATATTGTATTATACGATCATCACTCGTTTAACCGAAAAATCATCACAACACGTGGTGTATTAAGTTATCGTATATGATATTTTCTATCGATCTTTTATCGGTGTTTATCTATCTTCTTTTACATATATGTCCTTTCTTTTATCAGGAAAGAAAAATATTTGTCTAAGATGCCTTAAAAGTTACCGAAGGAGTCACAAAAAAGGAGTATTTCCTTTATCGAAAGAAACCATTCGTTTCCATCGTTGGTAGAATAAAATTCACCAGGGAAACGTCTTCTAAGTTGATACAACAAAAGATAGAGGATTGTGCAACCGAAGGAAAGCTTGGAAAAAGAGATATGGAAGGGAAAGAAAGGGAAAGAAAGAGAAAGATAGAGAGAGAAACAAGCAAGGTTTACCTAGGCAAATACGAGAATCGCAATCTGTTTTCGTATTCGAAACGCGTTCCCGCACGAAAGCAATTCTAGACGTCGGGTCGCCTCGTTACGATTGGAATACCGCCAATCTTACCGGCGCATAAAATTTACACCATTGAACCGCACAAACCCATACCGAACTTGTTCTAAAATCAAAAGCACCGAATAAGAGAGGGAGGAGGCCTTCTTCAATTCGTTTCCGCGAGCGGATATCCGGTATAATTACAAATCCGCAGCAGTGTTTGCAGCAATCATTGCACCAAGAGAAAGATACACGAATATTTTTATATTTTGTTTATTTTCCTTACGATGTTATTCTTGGAAAGTGAAATACATTGGCTTGTAGAATTTTCTTAAATATAATTTGGAATGTAAAATATGTTAGGAATAATAATCGAGTGGAATTAAATCGCAGATTTATGATCCCATTGTTAGATATTTGTATTAGTATTTTAATTTTTATTTTTATCTCTATTATTGCAAGAGGAGTCGCTTTATTACGCGGGATACGTAATAAAGTTTATAAATGTTTCTTATTTCGAAAAAGAATTGAAGCTTATGAAAGGAGAAAATTGCCGGAGTTGTATATATCCAGGCCAGAAAGGGAAAGAAATCCGCTTGATAGTCGCAATCTCGGCACGAATGACTGCTTTTTCATAGCAGGAATAAATGGATATTAAGATGTTTAAGATTTGAGAGATAGCTTTCCTCGCTTTCCTAAAGAAAAGAGAGAGATTAGAGAATGGAAAAAATATATTTTTTTTATTGAAATTTACTCAGTTTCTTTCCATAATTTCATTTATTAAATTTCTACTATAAGAAAAGACTACTTATATTTATTACAATTATGAGATAAAAATTGTTTAATTAACAATATAATAAAGAAAAAAAACTTAATATAAATTCTATTAATGAATAAAAATGAAAAATTGTTTTCTCGCGTATCTCGGACTCGAACGGCGGGCAAAAGAACAAAGAACATTTATTGTTGAACTATTGAAAACTAAGTTTTATATATTCTTCAAATTATTCTTCTTTCTTATTCATACACACACACACACATACACAAGTAAGAGAAATGCGAAGAGGACGTACGTTTCGATCTTCCAACCGAAGAAAATTAATTATCTTCGTGGTCGATGGAATGGCTTCTAGCGATATCCGGTTCGTACATCGGAAGAAGGACGGGACTTACGCTCGATTTAATTTCCCCGACGACACGATTGCACCGTCTCGGCCCATTCCCCCTTCCTTCACCCTTCTCTCACCCTTCTCTCAGCCCACCGCCTTGTAAGAAACGATAAGTCGTTCTCTTTCTCTCTTTTTCGAACTTTTATCGAAAACTTTTATCACGCACAAACTCTGTACTTTGCTCTTCGACTTTTATCCAATGACTTCGTTCGTTGTAAATGTTAAAGGATCGAAGGAAAAAGTTTCTTCTTTTTATATGTGTTAGGTAGACACATAAAGTAATAGCAAAGCTTTTATCATCGTCAATACATTTCACAGTATTACCTTCGTATTATGACAGGGAGAGAATGTTGAGAAAAGAAATCGAATATCTTTTATCTAGAAATATATTTATTTTTATTCTTTATTAAGATCATTTATACAATTGGATAATACATATATATTTTTACAAAAATCTTTTAGTTATATTACATTTAAGAAAATAAATTACGGCGTTCTAGTTAAAGTAATATAACAAAATATGCGGCGCTTTAAGTGTTTATAAGTATATATATATATATCCGGTAGTTAATTATATATACGGTAATTGTAGTCTTATTTTTTGTATGCGATACATGCCTTCTCGTAATTGAGATTATTA